GTTTCACTCAGTTATTTTACTAGAAGAATTACTGGACAACAAAGCTTTATGATTAACGTGATGGTTTCAATTTTTCAATCGCCAGCTTCTCTTACTTAGTCCGAAATATTTAACGTTTTTCCAGGCTTTTTTTTATTGCAATATTTTACGTGCCAGGAAAACGTAAAAAACCAAAAATACCTGCATGGGATTTATGCCTCTCAGTTGATTCGATGTGCAAAAGCGTGTTCTTCGCATGAACAATTCCAAAACGAGAAAGCTTCTATCAAACAAGTTGATAAAACAAGGATGTTAGCAGCCTGTTTTGAAGTCATGGAGGTTGATACAATGACCTTGTCAGCAAATACAACCAATCATTAAAGCTGACATGAACTCTTAAAAAGCCATCATTTTTCATCTTTGTACGACTTACTACATTCCTGTACGCCTTTGTCCGCCATATTTCTTCGATTCCGCCATATTTAATTGAAAATTTTTGGTCACCTGTACCTGCTATATATAGCCTTGTACGATTGCTTCACTTGAGTGATTTTCTAGCCTGACTGTCGACATGTACACATCTCCGATAACAAAGTTTTTAGAAGTCCATAAACTGACCAAATACATGTTTGAAAAGTAAAAATTCAACAAAAAATAGAACTATACCGAGAATTAAATTATTTTTGAATGCATTTGCTGCAATATAGAAAATAAACTAACACGGAATACATACATGTACATCAAACACCCATGCGGGTCGAGAAAACGCGTCAAACGCAGTGATAAAAACATTTACCTGACTACTGCTATCGTTACAAGGATGTGCACATGTCGAAAGAATTATCCTATTTTACTTTTATTGAAAAATGCATCTCAGAAGTCATGTAATCCACCGCTAACTCAACAGTAAAAGATGCTTGGACACACGTGGCCCATGCCGATCATTTTATTTGGTCTGGGAAAATATCAAAGGTTGAAAGCTCAGTGGGGTTGATTGAAAAAAAAATGCAAGTATTTTTTTCAAAAATAAACATTACTCTTGTCTGTACATGTTGTAAATAAAATTTACGATTAAGTACATGGTTTAACTTCATCAAATTCATTTAAAAAAGCAGGCATTATTACGAATCATTCACCTTTTGAAGATATTTTCCCGTGATATGGGGGGTGTGTGTGTGATAAAACATACATAACACTCTCATAAAAATAATGTAAGAAAAACGTCTGAAACAGATTGGATTTCTTTATGATCAATTATTATCAAATAAATATTGTGTATTGGCTTTATTAGACCTAATATAATTTGATTTAAAGTTATTTATAATTTTATGCACTATGAAAGAAAAAGTGAGCACGTTCACATACCCCACGCTCCCCCAAAAGTCGAGGTGCTGAAATTCCCAGAAAAAAAATAAAGGAATCGTAATTTCCTTGTAATATGCACATCTATACACATTGTGTCCTAAATATCTGCAAAGTTTGACGAAATTGTGTGCAGCGGTTTATGAGGAGTTGCGCTGACAAACAGCTCACCTCTATATTCAAGATATGGCCAAAATCTAAATGTAAAAGTGCGGAAATTCCCGAAAAATAAAGAATTCGGAATTACATGGTGATGTGCAAATCTACACACACATTGTCTCCTATAAATATCTGCAAAGTTCGACAAAACTCTGTACAGTGGTTTATGAGAAGTTGCGCTGACCAAAAAAAAAAAAAGAAAAAGACTGACTGACGGGTCAAAAACATTATACCTCACGCGTGGGTTATAATAAACGAGTTTGATTCTTTGGTACAATGATAATGAAAATAGAATTTAATGTGAATTAAATTTCTAGACATAAATAATTAATGATTATTAGAAAAAGCATATAAGAATAGAGAGTAAACTCCTCATGAGAATTCCACATTCTACCTAAAACTAGCTTTTTAAAAATTCTCTTGTCTGTTGTCCAAGTTCGACACATACGTTTGAGAAGGTATTCGAGAAAGTCCCCATTCCTGTGATTTATATTTCACGTTTATTATATCCCCCGCCTGAAAAGTGGGAGGTAATCGTTATGTCCGTTCGTCTGTCTGTTACGCTTTGGGGTACCCATCTCTTATCCGCAAATCCTCTTACACCACTTTGAGAAATTTAATGAAACTTTCAAAGAATCTTAAGTTTATTACATATTACCATTATGCACCTCCTATTTTACTTTTTGATCTGACACGTATGGGTAAATAGCGAAATATGGACTTTGCCATTATAACCATATGGGAGGCAGGGGGTATCATTTAGTGAGTTCATTGCTCATAATACATGTACGTCTAGTTTCTCTTTCAATTTTAATAAAGTTATTATTCAATTAATGAAGTTTCGACATCCCGCCTGAAAAAAATCCTTGATCTGTCCTAAGGCATAATAAATGGTACAGCACAAAGTGCGTAGGATTTTATACCTATCATTGCCCCAACGGGTGGTTACAGAGTGAGAGAGAGAGAGAGAGAGTTCAATATACAAAAGAATAAATAATTATTATCCGTATTCAACCAGTGTAAAGTATCCCTACCCTAACTTTTAAAATTATCTCCCAAATTCACCTACAGAAATCATTTATATATGTATATAAAAATACCTAGACTATCAGGCAGGGATACTGAAATCTCGAAAGACTTCCTGTAACAACATAATTATAAAACAGTTCCATTCCTCAAAATGCACATACTTTGTGGTCGGAGTGACACATTTTAAAAAAAAATCTCAAAACTGAATTCGGCAGAAATGTCTGTCTTCCAAGAATATTTAAATAACGGTCATGTCAATTATTTTTGTATGCCCCCCCCCCCCCGTCCAAAATGCCTAAATGTCAATCCAGGGGATGGCCTTTCTCCGTGTGTGTATGTGTTAAATAATATATAGATGTACACATAAAAATTTGTATTCTGGTTAATTGCTTTTAAGATTAATTTTGAAGTAAATTATAGCCGTACATCAAATTACTTTGTTTAGATTTGAGATTAGTACTAAAATAATCAGTTATTGACAAATGAATTTTGCGACACAAACCAACTGCAGACTATATACATGACTTTGTATAGAATGTATATTAGAACTACATGTAGATAAACAATTCACAATTATAGCTTATGAACATCAGTTATAATACCCCCCCCCCTTTCAGCCGCGCAAATACCAAATAACTTCTCTTTCCACTTTCGATATTTTCCCTGACCAAAATCTGATCAGCACGGACTAAGTGTATCGTCGTGCTAGTGTGTACGGAGTAATGACAGTGTGTTTACTATTGAGCTTTTATGGAGTTTATTTCTTTTTTGTGATGCATATTTCAATAAATGGAATTCAGGGTGTATTTCACTTGACTTGTGCACATCTTCGAACCGATGCAGTAAATTTATTACCAGGTATGGGTACGTTTACAGCGTTCGAGGCGTTTTCTCGATATGCATCAATTGCATAGGACCTGCAAATCAAAGACGTTGGTTGTTTTGTTCCATTCAAATTATATAATTTCAAAATGTGTTTGCAAATTTTACTGCTTTTTATTTCAAGTTTATTCTGCATAAATTTGCGCACTGTAAAAATACGTACTCATGCATCTAAATTTCTCTTCCAAACTTGCATTTTTTTCTTTTGATTCAAATCAATAATCATTCAAAAATATGATTATTATGTTGTTTATTTTGTTTTTGAAATGTCTTGATAACCTCATGTGTTCTCATATGTTTTACGATCGGAGATGTGCACAAGTCGATACCCAATCCAAAAAATCATTCAAGTGTAACGAGCGCATTGGGGTATACATCGTTACAATGAGACAAGGTATCTGAAAGAAATATGGCGGAATACGGCTATAGTTGGTATGAAACAAGTCGTACATAGATGAAAATGTTGCGCTTTTAAGAATTCATGTCAGCTTTAAGTCACATCAATAGTGCTGACTAATGTTTTTCATACCCATTATTAAATTAATAATAACAAACTGAATTGTGTAGTGATTTTTTTCTGTTTCCCCCAATCATGACAAAGAGCACAAGGCAGATGTGACCGGTAGGCAGGGGATGCTCTCTCCTCCATGGCACCTAACCCCACTTCTCATGTTTTTGGAGGTCCATGTTTGCTTGTATGTTCGTACACCGCATTTCATTATTACAAATTCTTATATGGCAAGTTATCAATTTGTTTTAGCAAATTACCAGTTGTCATAACAAATTACAAATTTGTTATATGATAAATTGATAAGTTCAGGCACGTAGCATCGTTTTTGAAAGTGGGGGGGGGGGCAACCAGAGAAAATTTTTTTTTACTTACCTTAAAAATTTTTAAAACAAAAAAAAAAAAAAAAAAAAAAAAAAATTAAAAGTTGCCCAAACTCGAAAATCCTATTTCGTGGGGAGGGGGGAGGGGGTAGTGGCCAACTTTTTCAGAGCCAACTTACTATCACTTCCAATTTTTTCTTACAATTTTTGATATCACTATACTATGGTTATAAAGTGGGGGGGGGGGGGCAACCATCCTATCATTGAACATTTACTATAGTAAAGGTTATGCCCCCCCCCCCCCCCCGGTTGCTACGTCCCTGAAGTTGGAACATTGCAAAATGTACGTTAAAACTTTTAAAACATACACATTTAAAGATTAAAAGCACATAAGTAAATCAGAAGAGGTTAAACAATTTTCATGAAACACAGAACTTCAATTGAATGGCCAAATACACTACAACGTGTACATGCATGTATATAGTTCTTTCCTATGATCCCGTGCACTTCGTTTACAATGCGTAAATGCTCATAGAATGAACAGCAACATGTAGAAAATTAGAAAACAAAAGATTTTCATTTAAATGTAATGATATTAAAACGGATTTTGTCAAATAAACAATGTGGCTATTGGGAATCCGTCATTGGTATTTCTTTTCTTTGCAATTTTTAGTTGTGGAGTCTAGGACAAAAAATGCAACATAATAATAAAGATTTAAAATATATTTGTTTGAACTTTAAAAATCTATCATCTGTAGATGTCAACAGAAGATCGCTTGTTTGTGGTCGCCATTGACTTTGGGACCACCTACTCGGGCTATGCCATCTTATCTAGAGGACACTTCATTGAAGACCCACTTGAAAAAATCATCACTAAAGTGTGGCAAGCAGGAGATCTATTGTCCGACAAAACACCCACTACTCTTTTGTTGAAGCATGTTGAACCAGACAGCCGCCAAGAGTTTGTAGCGCTTGGATATGAAGCAGAAGACATTTACAGTCGTCTGCCCGAAGAAGAAAAAGATGGCTACTACTTTTTCAGACGATTTAAAATGGCTCTATACGATGAAGATAGAAAAGTGGTTGGTTGGTTAGTTATAATCAATGGTCAACTATTATAAAAGTGAATTGCTTTCCGCTTCCCTTATTTGATCACACCACTTTCGTTATGATAGTGCTATGTTGCAAACACTATAATTATTTCAATAATTATTGAGAGAGAACTCTGCCATATTACCAGCATGCAGCTGATTAATTACTGCACACGTTTCGTTTCTTCGAGTTTTATTACTTGAATATCGTTTCCTTTCTGTTTTCAATCAAATAAAACTCAGGTGAATTACCTAAATATGCGCAAAACAATATGGCAATTGAAAGAACAGACATATATTCAGACAAAGGAAATCATTTCTGTCTTTCACTAATTAACAAGTTTAGATTGCCAGACAGTGAGTATTTATTAGCATAGTCAGATACTCTTTGGCAATTGAAAATTGTTCTTCTTTATTGTAACCTGAAGCTTTACAGCTTAAAAATGGAACAAAATACAATCATTGGATTACAAGATCACCTCTTCGCCTCAAGCTATAAATAAATATATTTACCAAGGTTACACATATCCTTATAGTTCTCAATATTGAACAATTGCAATACTTTGAACATGGATGGTTTTTTAAATGAAATATTTTTAAATAAATTTGCTTCGAAAATCTGCATAAACTGGGCATACCATTAAAAAAATTATATTTGTCCTCAACACAATTATGACAGGAAAAGCATTTCCTATGGGCTTTGTTAGTTTTATTATATCTCCCAGTTTCAATAAAAATTGTAAATTAGTGAAAGACATCTCTCTGACTGACATTGTTAATGATTTGAATGTTTTTGTTTATTTCTAGGCTCTTACCAGAAATACCAAGATAAAAGATATCAGGAACAAGGAGTTGCTTGCCTTGCATGTTTTCTCCCATTCCATCGAGTTCCTTAAGAAGGACTGTTTTGAAAATCTAAAGATCAAGGGTTTACAAGATGAAGTAAACTTTGAAAAGGAAATCTTGTGGGTTTTGACCGTTCCCGCCATCTGGGATGATGCCGCTAAACAGTTCATGAGAACAGCAGCTACTGAGGTACATACACGTACCAAAATACTAAATGATATACTAGTATTCAAGGTCGATCGAGAGTCTGTAATCAATTTTTAGAAGTGTTAAGTTCAGTATTTGGGTTTCATAGGACTGTGTGTATTGGGTTGTATTTTGGGGAAAAGACTACAGATAGGAAATTAAATTCATTTCAGAGCAGGTTGATGTACAGGTAATTGATCCATCTATACTAGGCAGATAAACAGATAAAGATCGATTGGTCAAAAATGAATCATTAGAAAGGAATCTTAAACTGCTTTAGCACTGCAAAATAAAGTATATTGCAGAGAACTGTTTCAAATTAAAACTTGATAAAAATACAGTTATGAAAAAGATGCAGGAAAGAACAAACTGAAAAATATTTTATAGGTAACTTGTGATTTCTTGAATAATTTAAGGCTGGGTTACCTAATGATAGACTCATGATCTGTCTTGAGCCGGAAGCAGCGTCCGTTTACTGCAAGTACCTTCCTCTAGAAAGACTAGAGCAAGACGCATCCTTACATGCACTACGACCAGGCACGAGATTTGTGGTGGTAGATGCCGGGGGTAAGAGGGCCAGATAATACTGTAGTAAATGAATTCGACAATAATTCAAAACTAAAAAGATTTAAGAAAAAAAAATGAGGTTGCGGCAAAAGTTCATTCATTGCATTTTTTAACGTAATTTCCCTTTCATAAAGATTGAAAACCTAGCAAATCGTGAAATCGTATGAAACTATACCACCAACTAATTATATACCTTGTTCTAAACAGCATTTTGAACTACCGGTGTATTCACGCCGTACCAATCAAAACTGAGAAGAAACACATTACAAAGACTGTAAAATTCTTCTGTTTGATAATATTCAATAAAAAAGAAATGGTTATGAACCGAAACAATGTAAGTAACTTTTTAGAGAAATACTACGGTAATCATTACTTCTTTGTTAGGAGGAACCATAGATATGGCTGTTCAGGAAGTAACAGATGACAATAAACT